ATATGTAGTATCAAAGCAATTGGACTTGCGGTTTTTAACAAGAAGTCGAAAATATCAGTTTTTACCAAAAATGACAAAAATATTCACCAAAATTAAAGAATTAAAGATATCATTACAAAATTAACAAATCTGAGAGAGGTCCACATGTAGTACCTATAAATGTAATATCAAAGCAATTGCACTTGCGGTTTTTAACAAGAAGTCGAAAATATCAGTTTTTACCAAAAATGACAGAAATATTCACCAAAATTAGAGAATTAAAGATATCAACATGAAATGAACAAACCTAAGAGAGGTCTACCCAAGGTACATATACACCAAGTATCAAAGCATTTAGGCTTGTAGTTTTCAAGAAGAAGTCGAAAAAGTAAAACATTGACACGGACGACGGACGATGACGACGACGGACAATCACTCATATGATAAGCTCCGCTCGACAAAGTCGACAGCGGAGCTAAAAAAAAGAGATTTCCACTCCAATAACTTGTACTCACCTCAGCCAAGCTGTATATTATGTCTGGTATTGTCGGTTCTGGTTTGCCCTCCCCTCCAATGACATTCTCAATAGCTTGTTGAATCTGCACTTTAGAAAACATATACCACTGGCTGAGACCACGTGTCCCAAATGACTGTCTGGCTACCAGTATACCATGTATGACACATATACCAAATACAATGCCCTTGATAGTTGTGGATTGGTCACGAACTTGGTTCCAAGTTGATTCCGAAACAGACTCCAATGCTGATATGATCGCTATGGAAATACATTTAACATACATATTAATTTTTTGTCTGTCAGTATCTATCAGTATCTCATAAAGTCTTTCAAAAGTATTTCTCATGAACAGGAGATCTTATGACAAATAGATTGGTGTAGTCAGTCACTGTTCTGCACATCTAATGAGAACAAAGAAATGTGAAGATTCACAGATGATAAAGTTTGAATCGAAAAAGCATTGCTTCATTATTGTGTTTCACTGATTTGTTGTGAATCCAGAGAAAATTTACTGTCTGAAAAAAACCCTCACAAACTGATCTTAATGCCATAACAGTTAGAAATACACCTTTCACTAATTTCCTGTTTTATTTGTTTATTTATTTGTTTGTTTTATGAATAATTATAATGACATTCACGTAATGCTAAGTGATGTCTCTTGTAAATAAACCATGCTATTGACCCCCTAACTCACCAGTTTTCAGCACACCCTGGAGAGAGCCTGGTTTAAAAACGTTATCTTCTTCCGTTCCATCAGATGCTTGTAGCAAGTCCGGTGTAATGCAATCCCAGCAAATAAAACGCAGTGTTTGTAATAGCTGTGAGGGGATGCTGTCACTTGGTTCTGATGTTAACCAGACACAGAAATTAGACTTGTCTTTCTGCACTGGGTTCAATCCCATTGGACCTGTGGTAACAAAAAATAATCAATGCAAGAGATAAGAATAAGTTGAGTTACCATTTAAGTATCATACCTGTCCTTGTTTTAAGATTTTATACAATTGCATATATACCCCAGCAAATTGTTTTTCCATGGAAAGAGGAATTTCTGAACATATATGGAACTGTGCAAAGTACACAAAAGTGTTGTATTCTAAGGGCTGGACATCCAGGCATTTTCAGCACCTGGCAAAAATCATGGTGAAAACAAAGGAAAATCTCAGAAAACTGTACTTTGGGATAGTTGTGAACAGTGTAACAAGATTACCCCTACATGTGCAACATAAATAAATTTGGTTGTTCAGGATTACTTTAAAGTTGAGTTGAACTGTTTTCATTGGTTCTTTGACCGGTGTTCCAAAACAGCTCATGGAAAGACATGGTACAGTGGTGCTTTACCAACATAGAACGTTCTGTGACTTAGCTTTGCCCCCAAAAATAAATGAATTTGCATTATTCAAGGTGGTTTTGCAGCTTTGAACCGCAACACTCAGTTTACATTCTACCTGGCCTACCAACCAGCATGTTATTAGACAGGAATCACTAAATTAACAATTCTTGTATCCTGTGATGTTTTTGATCATGTAATGAACAGCACCATTCCTGACATAGTAGATTTCATTTCATTTGTCATCGCCTGAATGCTTATTTAATGCTTCATTAGCAATACGCTGAATAAAACAATATTCTGAGTAATGAGTACAAGAGCTTACCTCCAGTATTTCCAACTCTGATAAGGTGATGTCTGAGTTCTGTGAAGAATCTGGTGGAGGATAGATGTAGATCCTGTATGACGACCCACCCTTCTGACTTGACAGCATTATCAATAGCGATATCTATCTCAGCTTCACAGCCTTCGCCAATATTCACAACTTCAATTGAGATATTCTTAGACTGTAAATATAGCCAGCAAGTAGACAAATTAACTCCATCAAAGAAATATTATTTATAAAGTTACAGCAAGTTGGATTAAGTACATTAGACTAGAATGCTCAGCTCTGACATAGACCATGTTTTGATGATTCAGAAAAAATAATTCAAGCGATCCAAAAGATCACTGAACAACTATCTAATCATAAAATGAGCAAACTCTTAGAGATTTACTTGCAACTATGTGATACCAGATTCTTTTAATGCAACATATTGGACATGAAAGCAATGAAAAGGGAAATTATAGATAGAACATGACCACCTTCAGTCAGTTAGTTGGCTTGGGAGATATCGTCAAAATGCCATTTGCCAAATTGGTCTCCATTAATTTTGTCTCCATTAAACAACAAATTTAATGTTTTGTTATTTCAGTCTATGAAACAGCTAATATTGGTAGTTTTGCATCTTGTGTTCAGTCTCTCATGAAAACAAAGCGTTTTCAGTATTGGTATTTGTCATCAACACTAACCTGTGCAATCTGTTTGAGAACATCCACTGGGTGCGTATTCAAGGTCAATGAACTCATCAACTGTGTATTCCCGTTGGAAGGAGTCGGTGGCAATGTTATCATAATTCCCAATGATGTATCAGCACTAGCAATGATACCACTCAGAGAGGGCGCACTGTATTTCACATTAGTCATGTGTTTATTTACATATTTGGCCATGGCCACTGGTAATCGGTCGGGACGCAAGCATTCGCAGTATCAGAAGTTGGTGGAAGTCTGTTAATGAACCTAAATCAGGGCTGCCATTGGCGATGTCTCCTTCCTCGTCATTAACTGGACGGTTGTCATTCCCACCTAAAACAAGAATAGAATGATTCTGAATGACTGCCATAATACATGGACGTCTCATACTGCTATAAGTGAAGGTACTTGTTGAAAACAGAGTATATAACTAATGGTCTAGTATGCCATTAAAAAGATGTTATTATTTTTCTCAAGAAAGTGAGCAGTGGTATGGTATTTGCTCTATTAAAAGCTCATATTCTTGCGTAAATTACAAAGGTGTTCAATTAGTGATACTTTAAAGGGTGGTGGTTATGTATGAATCATACCTTGTGTTTGTTCGCTACCTTCTGGACTGATCGGCAACGGTTCAGTTTCGGGTTTGCATGATTTATACCATGCCTTCCATACATCTGAATTCTCAGCTATGTTAACACATAGACTGTCCAGCGGGCCGGGTAAGACGGACATCGCTATCACGTCCTCCCATTTATCCGCTGCTATCCAATCAGGTGCTGGCTCATCACAGTCGAAATCTTGTAAGGTCAACACCATATTGCCGAATCCAGGATTGCCTAAGTAAATGAATAAATAACAAATAATGAAAGGAAGTGAAAAAGAATATAATTTAGTTATCAGAAAGTCAAACTAAGTTATTTGGTATTAAATACACACCTTGCAGCAACAGAGCCATTTCTTCTTCAGCAAAATGATCTGAGGATTCGTTCTCAATATTAAGACAGAGCATGGTGGCAAATAACAAACGATGTTCATCATATAGACTCCTGTAATGCAATAAAGGACATTTACTGGTATGACTTCCCATACAATGTATTTTTAAGACAAGCTTGGTTTAAGTTGTTTTGGTGGAATAACTGAAAACTTCTTTTGTCACCATGTGGTCCAAAATTATAGAAAAATAATAAATATAAAAATGTTTCTTCAAAAGTTTAGCAGAAAAATGATGCTATTGAATCTTTCCAACATTTTTTATAAACAGCAAAACACACACATTATTATCATACAAAACACATGCTGAAAAAAAATTGTTTAATATCAAATTGTTTCAAACACTCACAGACATTTTACTCATCGAACTTGCCCCTGATTGAAGATGTTATAGTGAAATCAATGATATCATTACAATAAGAAGATGATCAAGATAGAACTCAGCCACATGCTGTTTTTGAATTTAAATACACTTTCCTGTACAAAAGTTAATGATAATACAACTTCCAACAAATCTCAAAATAAATTAAAAATGAAAAGTACATACTGTCTGACATTGTGGAATATAATTTGTGTCAAAGCATCCAGAATCTGTTTGACCTGATTCACAGACATGTTGTTGTATTCAACACCATCTGTTGGCAGTACAGGTGCCTCCGGCACAACAAACTCAGCAACTTTCGGTGCAGTGTCCTCCTCAGCAGCTGTTGCCTCTTTATTCTGATCATCTGAAAACAGAAAATACATCAAAGTTTAAAATGGTGAATTAATGATTCTAAGAGAAATTTGTTGAATGTCTTTTATGTATAAATCTTAATTATAAAAGACATGGAGTAAAACTAATGTTATTGTGTTGAATGCGCCACTGACATCTGGTTCCAGCAGTCTGGTCATAATCTACTGTAGAATATTTTATTTTCACTTGGAATTTATTTTCACTGAAGGGATGATTCCGTGAAAATAAAATCCGGCGAATATACTTTTTTTCCTATATTTCACATTAAACTCATCAAAAAACAGTGAAAATAAATTCCATACAAAACAGCCAAAAAGCCTTTTCCGCGAAAATGAATTCCAACAAAAATAAAGTATTCCACAGTAACTTCCAAGGTGGCTTGCAGTCATAAAGAAATTATATGTTTTAAAGTAAGTGTTTTGCTAATACTGGAGATATTGAGACAGATTACTTTTCACTCTTTGAAAGCAAGCTACCCGGTACATGTAATCTAATTTAAAATTATGCTTAATAACTTTTAATTCTCTAACATAATATTTAGCTTACTGTGTATTCAGTGTTATTTCTGTTATCATCTTATACATTCTAAACATGGTACAATATGGTGCAAACATTACATTAGACTAGAATGCTCAGCTCCGACACAGACCATGTTTTGATGAGTCAGAAGGATAATCCAAATGATCCAAATAATCCCTGAACAACTATCTAGGTAATTGTAAAATGAGATTTACATGTAACTACGTGATACCAGGTTCCTTAAATGCCACATGTTAGACATGAAAGCAATGAAAAGGGAAATTATAGATAGAACCTGATCATTCTCAGTTGACTTGGGAGAGTAGTCAAAGGGCCATTTGTCAAATTTGTCTCATTTTTAGCCAGCATTAACCTTTTCACCACCAGTTCCCTCTTTTCATTACAAATTCACAAAATATTCCTGTTTATAGTCTGCACTTTTCTTCAGAAGATTGAGACAAAAATAGCCAAATTTTCTAAGTAAAAACTGAAAATTGACTCAAATTTTGTCTGTTGGCTCCAAAAATGGGATTCATTTCCGGAATTCTTGAAGAATATAAGAAAAAAGTGCTGAATAATTTGGGCAAGAGAAATCTGGTGGTGAAAAGGTTAAATCTTAGAAGGGCTTTCTAAATTTGATTTCAGGTTACATTAACTGTACAAAATCTGAACTCTTATGATGCTTACAGAGGTTAGTCAGAGGTTTTCTGCAGATTATAAAGTGGCAACAAAACTTTAAGATACAACTACTCATTATGAAACTCACCTTCTTCGGTTGAGTCTTGAGTTTTCCACTGTCTTCGTCTTCAAATGCATCATCCTCATAATCGTCAGGTTTTTCTTCCGTCTTTGTTGTTGACGCACTGTACGGCCGGGAGGCTTTCAAGGCGAGTTCATCATCTGTGCTCTCACCATCATCCTAATTACAGACATCAAGCAAATTATGATAACTTTTGAACAGAGAACATGTCATCAAACAAAAGTGAAATTCATCAGCAAGAATAATCTCTAATTTTTTCTGATTTCATTGGTTGTTAAACAACAGTTATTGTTCAAATAACATTAATGAAAACAATGGACAGATTAAAAGATCTTATAACAGAAAAATCTCTTTAATAAATCTTCAAAAAAAAGATAAAATAAAAAATTGTTTTATAATCACCACATTGACCAATACAGCTTACTTACAGATCAACAGGATCAGCTTGTGAAAATAAATATATGCGCATATATTTGCATAAATTTACATGACAAATTACCTCTTCATCTTCAGGTTCCTCTTCCTCCATGGGAGGATCTTCACCAACGGCTTTGTCGAACAGCGACATAAAGAACGGCAACGGGAAGATGTACTCTCGTTGAAGACCTTCTAAACTGCGCAGCACAGAGAACAACAATGCTGCTCTCTTAGCTACGGGGAACAACTCATCTTGTAATTGATCTAACATAGATAGTATCTGTAGTGCCTGGTCTAGTTGTGCTGCAACCTCGTCTTTAGCGTCCACTATTGACGACACCAGCTCAGTTTGTTGCCAGATATCTACTTTATCGCCGCTTAATTTCTCTATCAGCAGTTTTTCAAGTTCCTGTAGATTAGACAAATGAGAAATAGAGGAAGTCTGAAAAATTGAATTCTAACTACAATCATTTGAATCATATAATGGTTGTCTGTGGAATTGGCTATTGAGTGTTCATTAATCTTGTCAGTGTTCTACCCAGAATTCAAACATGTGGTAGTACTGTCACAGTTCTGTTTTTAACTGCCACACTGATCTAACACCGCCATGCTCATTTGCCTGGCTACCACAGTGGTTTATTTTCATTTACTGTGTGCATGTTTTGATTTGTATTGTAATCATTACAATCTTTGTCACTGCTACAGTGGTTTAAATATCTGAGGAAAACACTTTCCGTTACACAATGCTGTACTGCGATCAAAGTATCGACATCTTGGAATATCTGATAAATTGACAACATTGATTGGTCAAAAACTTTGTGACAACTGTGGAGGAAATTTGAGAAATCAAAGTGCATGAAAAATAAAGCATTCAAATGTCACGCTCTAGATTTATATATACCATCACTTGACCACTATTAAACCACTGTAAAATGCTTTATTTTTGCTTGGAAATAATTTTCGATATTTTTTGTGCTGAAGGAATGATTTAGTGAAAATAAAATCCAGTGAGTATACCGGTACCTTTAATGAAATCACAAATAAAAGTTTTGCTCTGGGTGACACTTGAACTAATTACCCCTGGCGCCTCATTTGACCCTTCTAAATACCCCCCAAAAATTGTAGCTTGGTAACCTCTTAGTTTATACTAATTGGTGTGCGCTACAGCCAAAATTGTCATCTTTGTTTATATGAAACCCACATCTTGTGCATGTGTGTGGCGTAATGACTACCGCCCTTTAAGTTTCTCAAGAACTGAGAAAACTGTGTATTTCTTGTGCCAGGTGGCATTTCTGGAAAATGAAATCACTGCTGTCATCTTCTGGCGTTTTTTTTGAGCTTATTGCAAGTGCATGCAATGAACAAGACTCAAACCAAATACTTTTATTTATACAGCTGAGTAAACAGTCAGCTCAAGGAAAATGAATGCACAATCTCCCTGAAATGATGCAAACACACAAACCACTGCACACATGGTCTAAAAAAAAATTTAGGTTTCATGAAATTTGTTCAAATTAGTAAAAGTCTGAAAAGAAACGAGACAGGATGTTAGGTTTTGACTTGGACATGTTTCACTGTTTAGTTAAATTACAAACAACTTACTGTTAGTGTGCTTCTATGCTGCTGTATTGCTTTCAGCACTTTCTTCCTCTCCATGTACAACTCGGGACGAACTCTGGCAAATGCTCTGGTTAGTAACTCATCTTGTATGGTCTCAGACGACGTGGTGTAACCAACCAGCGTGGAGGTGGACGAGACCTCAGGATTGAACACAGCATTGCCATTCTGGGTGCTCATGAACAGACGGAACCCGTCGTGGCAGAGCAAACGACGACTGGAATAGCGGATCATTCTAGGCTCTGCAGAAGAAGTGTGACAATTGGAGAAATTGTTGAGATTTTAATTTGTTTGGTAAATGCAGACTCAAACTATAAATGTTTCATAAACAAATAAAAGCGAGCTTGCATAATATTTGTAATTATTTGGTGAATGACTCAGAGCTACAACAATTCAACTTTTCATGACTTAATTGACTTTGTGAACTATGCTACCATGCACGGCTGTCTGTGAGGTGAAGGCAGAACTATGCTACCATGAAAGACTGTCTGTGAGGTGATATCAGAACTATGCTACCATGAAAGACTGTCTGTGAGGTGATATCAGAACTATGCTACCATGAAAGACTGTCTGTGAGGTGATATCAGAACTATGCTACTACACATAGCTGTCGTTGAGGTGATATCAAAACTACGCTACGATGCGTGGCTATCTGTGAGGTGATATCAAAACTACGCTACGATGCGTGGCTATCTGTGAGGTGATATCAAAACTACGCTACGATGCGTGGCTATCTGTGAGGTGATATCAAAACTATGCTACGATGCGTGGCTGTCTGTGAGCTGATAGCGAAACTATGCTACGATGCGTGGCTGTCGTTGAGGTGATATCAAAACTACGCTACGATGCGTGGCTGTCTGTGAGGTGATATCAAAACTACGCTACGATGCGTGGCTGTCTGTGAGGTGATATCAAAACTACGCTACTACACATGGCTGTCTGTGAGCTGATAGCGAAACTATGCTACTACACATGGCTGTCGTTGAGGTGATATCAAAACTATGCTACGATGCGTGGCTATCTGTAAGTGATATCAAAACTATGCTACGATGCGTGGCTGTCGTTGAGTGATATCAAAACTACGCTACGATGCGTGGCTGTCTGTGAAGTGATATCAGAACTATGC